AAGGAAATTGGTTCCCGGGCGCAAAGGGGGGATTTCGTATGGTTTGATGACAAAAAATTAAATTTCAGACGAAAGCGACCGTGAAAACACCAGAAAACCGGGAGCACAACGAGGCACGCTGACAGTCACGCTTGACCAGTGTCTTTGGTATAGTATGTTTGAAACTTATCAGAGTCTGTGTTAAAGGTATCTGATGCAGCTGGTAGTTTACTTACTAGTGTTGATGCAACAGATGTGTAGTATGAATTAAAGCAATTTGCCACCTTAGATGTTTCATGGCATACCTCATTATCGATAGTGATTGCATCGTTAGTGCTTTTACTTTTCCTGAATCCAAATTGGCAGGGGTTGAGTATGTTTTGTGCCGTTATAAATGAATATAGTCTCCTGTGCACGAGTTTCTCAAAGGTTTTGGATAGCAATGGTAAGTTTGATATTGGCCTATAGTTGTTTAAATCTGTAGGGTCACCACCTTTATGTATTGGTGTAACCCTTACCGTCTTGAGTAGTTTCGGGAAGGTGCTAGTTTCTAGTGACTTGTTAAAAAGTAATGAGACAGCATGCGAGAGGACATGGGCCGCTCTCTTGTACAATAATGGTGGGACATGAGACAGATTCCCTGAGTTATTTTTAAGTGACTTTATAATCTCAGTGACTTCCATGGGCTCAGTTGGAGCAAGATAGAAGGAATTTGGGAAATTCCCATCTAGGTAGTCCCCGGCATGGGCATTGGTGCGTGAGATTTTATTGGCGAGATTAGAACCTATGGTTGAGAAGAAGTCGTTTATCTTGTTAGCTGTGTCAGTGGGATGCAGTGGTGTTTCATTAGGTTTAGTTAGGGCAATATTCTTGTTTTTATCAGTTTTTGGGTCCCTAGAATCTGAGAGAGTGTTTTCCAGGTCTTTTTTATATCTCCTCTTGTGTCAGTGAATCTACTGGAGTAGTATAGTTGTTTGGCTTTCTTTAATACTTTGGTGAGGACTGATGAATAGTGTTTAAGAATATCTTTGTGTATTAAGCCCTGTCTATATTGCTTTTCATAATGGTGTTTCTTATCAATGGATTTCAGAATGGTGCTGGTTAGCCATGGGCAACCAAGCCGTTTGTTTGTGATCTGTTTCGTTTTTATAGGACAATGTTGTGTATAGTCTAAGTAATTTGTTAAGAAAAATTGTCTGTCCAGTCGTCAATACCATTGGCCTTGGAGAATTCTGTAGGCCAGTCAACAGTCTCTAGGTCAGCTGTGAACTTCCTTATTGAGGCCTCATCATGGAGTCTAAATGAAACTTTATTGTATTCAAGTGGTGGTTTACTAATGTTTGTCAAGAGGAAGGTAGGGTAGTGGTCTGTAGTGCTATCTGTGATTATCCCTGATTTAAGGGGGGCTAGTATATTGGTCCATAGTGGTCTATTATGGTTGCACTCGTTTCAGTGAGCCTGGTTGGTTTAGTTATTGTTGGTATGAGAAGTGGTGTTGTTCATATTGTTGATGAAATCAGTTACAGGCTGATCATCTAGTAGGCCAAGGTTGATGTTGAAGTCTCCAGCTAAGAGAAGGTGGTGCTTATTCATTTGTCTGTTTGTTATTAGTGCCTTTAGTTTCTCACTGAAATTTGGGATGTTTGTGTGGGGTATCCGGTAAATGGCACCGATTGTTATAGGCGTCTTAAGGTTTTTTACAGTAAAATTAGCAAAAATGTATTCTCCATATTCATCACTAAAGCAAGTGGTGCTAATACAAGATAATTGGTTAGAGTAATAGATTGCAATACCACCCTCAACTTGGTTTGTTCTGCAGTTGTGGATTGCTGTGTATCCTGGTAGAGGGTAGATATCTATTATGTCCTGCTTAAGCCAGGTCTCAGTAAGAATAATGCAGGAAAAGGGTGTCTTTAGTGATTCAATGAGTGCCAGGAGGTCATCATAGTGTTTGCTTAAGGACCTGATGTTGTAGTTAAGTACTGATAGACTTTTAGCATTGGTTAGGATAGTGCTGGCTTGTGATGCTGTGTAATAAAGGCAGTTACTTTCCAATAGGTTTTGATTGTGTGTCAGATTATGGAGGTTTAGATCAGGGTCAACGTGATCAATCATCTTCTAGGTTTAAATTATGGTTATTTATATCCTGAGTTGTGGGTTGAGTTTTAGTACTGATATCTGTAGTGGGGGAAGTTTGGACAAGTATATATGCTTAGCATTTTGGTCATGTAGAGTATAGTCACTAATACACATAATGGAGTTTGGTGTTGTCTATGTGTTGTGCTGGAATGAGCTAAAGTACAACTAGGTATAAACTAATAATAATATAAAAATACAAATTAAAAATAGCACAAGACTCTCACTTGTAATTGCACTAAGGTCTAATGTAATGACTTTGGTATAGTCTATGTATTGACCTAGAGTGAGCAATAGTACAACTAGATTTAATCTAATAATATAAAAATACAAATTAAAAAATAGCACCAGACTCTCACTAGTAATTACACTATGGTCTAATATAATGAATTTGGTATTGGCTATGTATTGAGCTAGAATGAGCTATAGTACAACTGAGTTTAATCTAATAATATAAAAAAGGCACAAGACTCTCAATTGTAATTGCACTAAGGTCTTATATAAGTTGTTTACAAGAATTAGAGTATAACTGGATTTAAATTGACAAGATAAAATATGCAAGTTAAGGTAGCAAAATAATAAAAAAAGTAGAAAAAAATATATATGAGGTAGTTGGTACTATTTAGCAAAAGATAGTTAAGGGCCTTGAACAATAATATAATTGAAATATACACTAATTGCACACACAATATAGTCACTAAGATATGAAAACAATCTTAGAATAGGACTTATAATATAAACTTATAAAAATACAAATTGAAATGGTACTTGCAATTGCACTAGGGTCTGGTATAGGTTGTTGACAAGATCAAGAGTATAACTAGATTTAAATTGACAAAATAAAATTCACAAATTAAAGTACCAAAAGAATAATAAGTAAAAAATAACAATGGCAATGTCTTGGTTATAATATGATAGTAAGACAAAATTTTGTTCGGATTTTTAAACCCGGAGGGTTAGCCACAAAGGATGACCCAAGAAACTCAGTGCGTCATCGAGGACTGTCTTCTTTATTTCCAGTGGGATCCTTAACTCTTGTCCCCCAGGATGCGATCCACACCAGTCAACTAACACCCAGGTACCTACTGGCTAGGTGAACGGTACAGCAGGTGCAAAGAAACACGCCTAATGTTTCCACCCTTGTTAAGGATTGAACCACGGACACTGTGTGTGAGGGGTGTTGCCTACCAGGCCATATTAGCAATGGCACTAAACTATGACGTCCTAGCCTCACTCCAGATGTCTCCTTTCCTTATAAGAACGTCGTTTTTTTCCGTGGCTCGTGGCTCAAGTAGTAGTAGTGCCTTCGGCTCTCGACAGAAGGGCGAGAATTCAAACACAGAGCGAATGGAAGCACTGGACATGTTTCCTTACAACTTCACTTAACAGTAAGAAGGTAATTGGTTGTTAGTCAAACGTTCTGGGTCGCATTTTGGGTAAGCGGGTGAAAGCACTCCAGTACAAATAAGCTCCAATCATTGGTACTCTTGGGCTATCCTGTATTACTAACCTTCCAGGATAATGCTTTGTACAACATGCAAGTGGCTTTTGTGCATAACAAAATAAACTACATTTTGTATACTGCAGAGAAATAAATAAATGCACCGCATTCTACTGCCCGAAATGCACGGCATGCTAGTGGCTTTCTTTTGTGCTTAACGATATTTTAGATTAGATTTTAGATTTTGCCACCGAAGTTGCTAGTTTATTGTGCACCCCATATCCATCCTGTGGACGGTAGCGCAAGAGCATATGGATACACAAAAGGCCCAGGAACTAGGTCCCAAGGGGTTAACATGAATACATATGGATTTATATCTACATATCTATAGGCTTAACGATATTTTATTAAATGTAAACTACATTTTGTATACAGAAATGAAATAAAGTATTAAAATGTTTTTTCACTTCCGTACCAAAAGTATTACTTGAGGTCTACTTGCGCGAGGAGAGTGTGGGAGGCAGGGGAGGGCGACACAGCATGGGGAAGGTACGGAGTCTTAGTGTGTCCAGCTCATGTTCCAGGTCTAAGATGGTTGCTTGGCGGTGTCTGGCCTGGGCTGTCAGCTCACTGCATGCCATCACTCGGCGTAGTCTACCCAGGAGGAAGAAGGTACATGTCAACATTTTTTCCATGTTAGTGTTTTAGATTTAGAATTTATTTACTAAGCAATGGTCATTAAGTAGTTATCGCATCCAACCTCTCATCTCACCCGCGCACCCTGCTTCTCATCTCACCCGCGCACCCTGCTTCTCATCTCACCCGCGCACCCTGCTTCTCATCTCACCCGCGCACCCTGCTTCTCATCTCACCCGCGCACCCTGCTTCTCATCTCACCCGCGCACCCTGCTTCTCATCTCACCCGCGCACCCTGCTTCTCATCTCACCCGCGCACTCTGCTTCTCATCTCACCTGTTCTCTCTCTTAGCCAGCTGAGCCTCTGGCTGTGCCTGAGCCACACACTCCTGCAGCTGGTCGATCTCCCTCGTGAGGATATCCACCTGTCTCTGGAGGCTGGCCACCCGATGACGACTGCTGCTAATCTTTTGTTCCACTCTGCTGCAGTCAGCCACCATGCTCCGCGTCTGCTTCCCATGTAGCTGTATGTGGGACAAATTTGGCATATAAGCGCTCACAGTCTGTCACCGAGGCTTTAATATCGAGTACTTAGTAAATATTTCGAATATCTCCCGTCTAAGGTCTCAGACGGAGATCTAAATACACGCCCCAACCATATATATTGTATATTTAAATACACTTAATAATAGTAATAAAAATACTAATAAATCTCACACAATACCTGTGTTCAAAAGCAGGTGTTACTATAATTCTATACACAAACAACCCGCTTCTTTCTCCTATGTGCACTTTGTGTATTGTTTCTGTTACGGTATTTTGCCTTTTTGTTCTTTATACTTTTATGGTGTTGTGTACCTGTTGGAGTCGCTGTAGGGAAGCGTAGAGCTGCGAGGGGTCTGCCTGAGCTGCTCCTCCCACTGCGTGTGTTGCTGCTGCTAGCACGTCACGACCAACCTGGAGACACAATGTCGGTATTTTGCAGACAAATGGTGCTTAAAATAGTCCACTTGGAGTACTTAGTGACTAAAATGACCCATCAGGAAGTATTTAATGGTTAATATAACCCATTAGGAAATACTAATTGGCTAAAATGACTCATCAGGAAATACTCGGTGGCTGAAATGACCCATCAGGAAGTACTCGGTGGCTAAAATGATCAATTAGAAAGTACTCAGTGGCTAATATGACAAATGAAGAAGTACTCGGAGGATGAAAATCATATCCCACACCACTGTTATCTGCCCCTTGTAGCGAATGTCACTGCTGAATTATACTCGACTTGTGTGACAGATGTTACAGTCTTTAGTTCCTCCATCTTCAACAAGATCAACAGTGAATGGCAGGTAACAGGATGATACGATCACAGACAACTTGCCAGCGAGTGCAGACACAAACTGAAGGCAGGTTTTCACATTTTCGTCATTTACACAGATAAAAAGAACGTAGTGAATCAGACTGAATCTGAGTGACTTACCGCCGACAACAATTTGAAAAAAGAGACAGATTGCAGAAGAGCCTATCACTGCGACGTTTCTCTCTTTTGTAGAACTTTATCAAATCATGATTCCCCCCCCCCCCAAAAAAAAAACTACGTAGAGCGAATTGTAGTAGTTTTTCTGCTACTTGTCTTTTTCTTCAGAACAGAATTAAAAACAAAATCTAAATTATTATTATTATTATAATCAAGGGGGAAGCGCTAGAAACAAAATCTAAAGAAGTCGTGGAAAGTTTCTGGCGGTAAGATCACGTTTAAATGTTAGATTTACAACGATCTGGTGTTAAGACCTACCTGTCCCTGGGAGAAAAATATACGCATGCAGCATAATACGATCCTTTATTGACTAAATTATCGCATTATACTGCATTTATGTCTTTTTTCCATCGTGTCGGTATTTTATGCCAATTATCTCCCTCGTGGAAGGCAGGTGTTGCGTCTCGTGTCACCTTGGTAGCACCATGGATAGCCCGCCTAGCCTTCCAATGACTGGCTCATTTTCCCTTGAATTATTAATGCGAGTATAAATCTTTTTTGAGTGTTCACTATATCCGGATTTTCATTAGCTTTATAGTGGTAATATATTCTTTGAACATGTGACTTTTTTCGTGGAGGCATCTTGCCAAACCTTAACCGTGGTGGTATTAATTTTTCTTGTGTTACTTGTTCCTTGAGAGTGTCACCTTGTATACTTTGAGAGTGATCTGTATGTGGTGCAGCGTTACCATAAGTGCATGAGATTGTACCTTGAAGGTGTTAATCTGGTGGAGGTCTTGCCGAGCGAGCTCCACCTCCAGCTGAAGTTGTCCTCTGAGTGTTCTGAGGGCCTCCACTTCCTCGCTCTCCCCTCCACCAGCTGCAGACGCACCCTCCACACACTTCTGTATGACAGCGGGGGAAACACGACTGCTCAAGTGAAGGCAATTAAAGAAGGAACATAAAAGGATAAATAAGGTAAAAACAAATAAAAAGGAAAAAGACGAGCACAAATTAGGGGATAAATATAAAGTGAGAATAGAGGGCTCATGTAGAGGTTGAAACATAACCAGGTGTGTCAGAGGGCGATCAGATTGATGCACCAACTGATTAATTTTTCACTTATCTCGGAGTTCAAGAGTAATATTTTAAGCTGCAATAATGATGGCATTGTTGCCATTTTTAGGTACCAAACAGCCTATAGAGTGTCCCTGTTACTAGAGGATCTACGTGAGTGTCCCTAGTTACCAGAGGACCTACGTGAAAACTCCCATCCGTCTCACCCCAGCAGTGGTCTCTAGTTTGCTGAGTTCGTCTTGCTGCACTAGTCGGGTATCACTGAAATCCGGTTGCAGACTCTCCGTCATGAGCTCGAGGTCCACCTTGACCTGTCCACTCTTGAGGACTAGCACAAGCTCCATGTCCTCGTCAAGTAGCCTCAGCTCACTGTTCGTCCTCGACACACCTTCGTCCAGCTAACACGTCAAGTGGCAAAGGATTAAAAGTGTAAACTGATTAGCCCAAATTTAATTCATATATTTGCAAAGGAACGTAAGGATAAATGAGCACTTCGGTAAATTTACTGGCCCATGAGAGGCAGTTCCTACCCGTAATCCACTCGTATATTTATGAAATCTATTTTTAATTAAAGATGAAGAATATTATAGCTGGTTTCCTTCACTTTCTTTGGAACTATTTTTTTTACACTTTGTCTCACCTCCTTAGCGTCCTGAAGGAGACACTGATGACGGGTTTCTATCGCCTGGAGGTGGGCTATAGCGGAGCTTCTCTTCGTAGCGGCATCTTCAGCCTCCTCCTGCAGGTCGTGACGACGCCGACGGAATCGCAGGAACTGTCTCCAGGTCCTGGTCCCCCCCGCCAGCGCCTCCGGCATGGACTCCTCCCCCAGTCTGGCCAAAGATATATGGTTATTTTGTTTACTTGCGTTCAACCGCAGTGTTCGTTCTCTTCTCTATTGTCCTTCGAAGTTGCCGAAGAGTCAGGCAATCCCTGTGGGGATATATAATAAATAAATAAACGTGTAGTGTGACGATGCCTTCACAGTCATCAAGACACTACAGTCGGAAAGCCCACTGTTACAGTTCAGTGTCACAGTCGCTTTATCGAGGGTTGTGACACACATTAAATTCAACAAACGTTTGCTTAGAATGTTAGGCAGATTATACGATAATCTTGGGTAATTTATGAGTAATGTTGGGTAGTTTATGTAATGATGCACTGTGTGATCTCACACTTGACGTAGTTTTCGTTGTTTCCTGCATAATATTCAGATGTCAACATTTTAATTGCACCAAGGTGGTAGTGCCTAGTTCGTCAGGAAACAGGACAAGCAGCTCCTGACAGGGGTTTCTAGATGACAACTGGCCTACGACAATTAGTTTTTCATTCCGTTACATGAAACAAAGGATCGCCGTAAAGTAATTACCGTTTAAGTAGAGGGAGCTGAGTTTATGTGATCTTGAAACGACCGAAATACATCTAATTTATCTGGTTATCATTATTTATTATCGATAGATATCATTGTTCTGGAGTTTTATCATTGCTAACTAGGAAGGCCATTTTTTTTTTATTTAAAACATTACAATACAAGGTGGAAATTATATTAAAATGTACACAAAATGAGTTAAATAAAAAATTCCCAATTCACCCTTACAAAAATGATTACAACAGACAAAAGTGTTCTGACACCCTAACACCACACACCATATACACTCAGTTATACCAGTTATATACCTGTGAAGGCTTAAACTTTTGTCACAATTTCACCCCCCCCCTCCCGCAAAATATAACCATCACCAACCTGATTGCATCATAACTTAACATTAAAGGATACATAGGAATTACACTATCATGAGTGATGCAGTAACATCTTAGACACAAAAATATTAATAACAAATAAATGGGATACATGTCTTAACTTAACACAATGACACCTCAACCTGGTGAAAGAAAATACCTCAAAAGTTTAATTTTCTAAGAAAGTTGCAACAATGATTGTCAACTCCCAAAGGCAACTTATGTTCAATTACCGTAGCATGTAAACCCTATTCATTCAACATAGTATATAAATAAAAACTTAATATTATGAAAAACATCAGAGAATACAAAGGTATAAAGTATAAACCCCAGCCATGTAGCGGCTACACGCAAAAAATTCCACATACTTCCCTAACACAGATAAAACAAAAACAAAAAAAAAAACCAAGGTCATTCAGTGTTACCTGAGATCTTGAAAGTTATGCAAGGTTGAGGTCAAGCGTTACCTGAGGTCGTCGAGAGGTCGGAGGTCATCGCTGTGTGAGGCACCACTCTGGGGTCTGGAGGGTCTAGCACTACCTCGTCGCGTCCCGCCTCTCTGTTACAGTACCAGAACATTAGAGCACACTTTCAAGCATGCATTGTCTCCTCTCTCTCTCTCTCTCTCTCTGTCGCGCACACCTGGAGTATACCTGGAGGGTGTATCGAGAGTCAACACCCCCGCGGCCCGGTCCATGACCAGGTCTCGCACACACACACATTGTTTAGATTACAAACTACAATGTAGTTTATTACATGTAAACTACATTATCCATGTACATCAAAATAAATAAAAATTTGAAATTTGCATTGAGTTAGAGATGATCATATGATCAAGAATATGACTCACACACAAGGAACACAGCACTGTATGACTCACACACAAGGAACACAGCACTGTATGACTCACACACAAGGAACACAGCACTGGGCACCAGACTGTATATTTCGACTCTCAACTGGAGTCCTCATCAGCCTCATTATTTTGAAGATGACTCCAGGAGTCGATATGTGCGGTCTCATTACCATTGTTGTTTTCCTGACTATACATGAGTTACCTTCAGTGTCAACAAGTGATCGTTACTCTTATCATCACAGCGCCATTGTTAAACAATTATTAAAAACAATTAATAATCACACTCACTCTTCACGTCTCTGCTCCCTCGGGTCAGCGCTTCACCATGCAGCACGAAATGACCCACACGGATTTAGCGCTTTTTTGTGAACGTAATAATAATAATAATTAATAATAGTAAGGAAAGTAGAGAACCATGCAAGACAGTTTATCTCTTGCCTTGACCAGTAGAGGTCATTCAGCTGTTGTTTTAGTTATGAAGCGCTAAACCCGCGTGGGTCATTCAGCGCAAGTAGTAGAAGCTCTATCCTCCATCCGCTAATTGGGGCTGTCTGTGATCAAACAAACTGTTGTCCGTTGCTCCTAGGAGGAGGTGGAAGGGGTCATACAGCGTCTGGAGATGGAAGGGAATTAGGATCGATTCCTGGAAAAACAGCTCCAATTCCCTGGATCAAGAGCTTCTCACCGGCATCAATGAGATGAGGTAGAATAATGGTTCTCAGTTTGTAAAATATTTAGAGGCAATCTTAGCCTAACTCTTAATGAGGACTTAAATGTTAACTCAAGATGAGTCGTAAAGAACGACTGAATGAATAGCAGGAACACTGGGCGGGAACTTGAACACAGTACCAGGTTCGAGTCCCCCGCCCAGTGTATTTATAAAATGTAAAAGAACTGGCCTCTGGAGTGCAAGCTGAAGAAGCAGTGGCTGGACTCAGCGGGGAGGGGGAGGAGGGGGTGTGAGGGGTGGAGACTTGGGCACCATCCACTCCTCCCCTGGCACTGGGCAGGTCAAGATGACGCCCGCTGCTCAACGCTCGCTTGCTGAAACATCAACAACGTCAACATTATGAGCTACTTCACATGCATAAGTGCGTGACAAGGATGGTTAAGTGTACACATGTAGTACTGTAGTTCAGTGATAAAAATGCGGGGATGCCACCTGCTAAACCTGGGGTAGAGCCAACCATGGCAGTGGGGTACAGGAGTGAGGTTGTCGATAGTCTTTAAACCCCATTAATCAACCAAAATATTGCACTAATTATATGAGATAACTTATGTCGAAAGATTAGTTTACATAGGGTGGGGAGTAACACTTTACCTGTAAAGTGCGAGGAGATAGTTATACTGGTCGATGGGCAGGTTAATGAGAGCTCTTCTTAGCGCCGTTTCCTCTTCCTTCAGCTGTTCTTGGAGTCTCTCCTGCCTCGTCTTCGCTCTCGCCTCCTCCCTGCGAGTGTTCTCCGTCTCCGCTTCCACCTGCTGCAGACGTTCCTCCACCTGCAATGTGAGAAGACTGGTGACCATACATTGTGTTGTGTGGTATGAGTGTATAGGACGATGGTCTTCCAGTCTATTCTAAAATAATCTCACGAGAATATTAAGCTCTTACTTCCATGGGAGTCATTGGCTCAAAATCAAAAGGATCGGGTTTAATTCCAGGGTGAGATGAAACGTATTATCAAGTTTTCATACTCCAGCTGCCCCTGCTCACCTAGCAGTAAACAGGAGAACCATAATTTAAGAGTCGGATAAAATGTTCTGCTTGATTTTAAGATAGTGGAAAAGGATACCTGTGTACAGTTCAGGACATTTATTAAATGGAACGTTTCACCACGGGTAGCTTCTGGTCGCCGTTGCCCAGCGGTGAGAGTAGCGAGTCTCATTGCTGAGGTCCAGGTAATAAACCCTGGACATTACTTAAAAAAAAAAACACGGGTAGCTTCATCAGTGGCGAAACGGACACCAGTACACAAGTATCCTTTTCCACAGTATGTCGGTATCACCATACTATTTACAATTCGATAAAATCTACTAAAGAATTCGGGGAAGCCAGCTAGTTGGACTTGAGTTCTGAGAGATGGAAAGTATAGTGTCAAAATATTATCCGTGTTTAGTACTGTTGTATCAAAAGTTTTGTGTTGTAATTTAAAAGGCATTAACCTTAAATATGTTCACAGGTGTAACTTAGAGTTAGCAGAGAGTGCTTGCTTAATGGTAGGAGTTCAAGACAACTTGGTAAAGAGGCGTCTTGAGCGAGCGAGGATGTACAATACCTGGCGGCGTCGCAGATGGAGATTCTTGAGAGTTTCGTTCAGGTGGTCCTGGCGGGCGAGGCGGTGACGGAGTCTGACGGTCAGCAGCTGGTAGAGCAGCAGAGCCTCGTCTGTGGACACCCGGGCGTCTACCAAGCACATCACCTGGCTGTCGAACTCTTGCAGCAAATTCTGTGGGGAAGCCAGGGACCAGGTGAACTGAAGAGAAGACATCACTCAATGACTGTCGAAATAACTGCTCCTGGAGAGGATGGTATAACCTATGATATTCTCAGAACTCTAAGGCACGTGCCTGATAACCCTTTGTTGGCACTGTATAATCTCAGTTACATTGAGGGCGTTCTTCCTACTTTAGGGGTGGCCCGGTGGCCTGGTGGCTAAAGCTCCCGCTTCACACACGGAGGGCCCGGGTTCGATTCCCGGCGGGTGGAAACATTCGACACGTTTCCTTACACCTGTTGTCCTGTTCACCTAGCAGCAAATAGGTACCTGGGTGTTAGTCGACTGGTGTGGGTCGCATCCTGGGGGACAAGATTAAGGACCCCAATGGAAATAAGTTAGACAGTCCTCGATGACGCACTGACTTTCTTGGGTTATCCTGGGTGGCTAACCCTCCGGGGTTAAAAATCCGAACGAAATCTTATCTTATCTTATCTTATCTTCTGGACCAATAGTCTCATTGTGCCTATCCCTAAGCCCCAACAGCCTGATACATTTAGGCCGATCTCCTTAACTAGTTGTCTTTGCAAAACTTTTGAAAGAATGATGCTTAACAGATTGTACTACAGAATCAGACATCAACTTTCCCCCTACCTCTATGGGTTCATGAAAGGTAAAAGTGTGCAGAACTGTATTTCCACCTTTCTCACTGCACACACCTCTACTAGTTTTACCACTTTTCTTGATCTAAAATCTGCATTTGATATTGCAAACAGAACCGTTATACTACATGAACTAGCCAAAATGAATATTGGTGGTAGCTTACTCTGCTGGATAATAGGATACCTGTCAAATAGAGTATCCTCTGTCCTTTACCAAGGCTTCAGAAGTGATTCTAAAGAAATGTCTTTAGGTACACCGCAGGGAGGAGTTCTTAGTCCCATGCTATTTAATATTCTGATTAATGCTCTCCTAAATGCTCTACCTGCCTCACCTAAACATATAGCTATAAGCTATGCTGATGATATCATGATCCATACAACAGGGCATAAGAAGATGAATACCATTCTTAATGAAGTTCAAGCAATTTGTAATCGACTAGGCCTCATAATATCTTCTCTAAAACAAAGATATTAACAAGCAAACGACATCCCCCACCCATCTATTTGCAGGGTGAAATCATTAGCTACGTTAAAACTTACAGATATCTTGGTGTAGATGTACCCTTTAACAAATCCACTATACCACAACTAAACAAGAAATGTAAAGCTAGGCTAAATGCTCTCAAAGCTGTTGCTGGCTACAATCCCAACTATGGTGCTAATGTGAGAATCGTGAGAATGATGTACATAGCCTATGTTAGGTCCTTAATTGATTATGCTGCTCCCATGTGATATTAGCTAGAGAAAGTTCCCTCCGACCCTTGGAGTTAATGCAAAATGAAGCTCTCAGGACTATTCTTGGCTGTCCCAGATCTACAAAAGTTCTTAACATGAGGAAGGAGTTTGGTATTTCTAGTATCAGTGATAGGATTGTTGAAATTAACACTGTACTCGGTATTAGAATGTTGAGAAACGAACCAGACACTGTCACAGTGAATCTTACCAAGTGTCTAGAGGTAAATACACACAGATCTAAATGGATTGTGAAAACGTGCAATTGCATTAAGTTTTATAACCTGCATGAACTGTATCACTGTAGGCAACAAGAGCATTTCACCCCTCCATGGAAGATGTGTTCATTTAATATCACATACCTACAAGTCCCTTCCAAGAAGCTCATTGCTAGTAATCCCTTCCTTAAATCTCTTGTTAGAGCAACTGCTCAAGAAGAAATTTTTCGCCTAGCTGGTAGTAATAAGTTATCACAAGTTATATACACTGATGGATCTAAACAGGAGTCTTCTGGCAGGGCTGCATCTGCTCTTGTTGCCACCTCCCTAGTTAAGAACGATAATAAATTTGTTGAGTTAGGCATAAGAATTAACAACTGGGCGTCTACACTGCAAACTGAATTGTTTGCAATGCTAATGGCGCTAAAGCTAACCTATGACACTGAGCTTGACTCTATCATCATTACTGATTCTATGTCATCATTGAAGGCTCTTGGCTCATATAATGACTCCAACAACATGCTCATTGGGGAAGCCAGGTATAGATACTCAAAAATTAGGGACAAAGGAATTAATGTACAATTGCTATGGATCCCATCACACATTGGATTACTCCTTCATGATAAAGTTGATATGTTAGCCAAGAAGAGTATCCAGAAGGAGAACGTAGAATATAACTTTGGTATAACTGTGTCTAGCATTAGGAATAATATTAGGAGAGAAGTAAATAATGAAGATGATTGTTATAGGAATGCAGTTAGAAGCCTGAGTAGATCTATAACCCACTATGATAACATGAACGTAGATAAGTATGTTTATGGAGCAACTTGCAATGTGAACAGACTGACTGATGTTGTAGTGGCCAGGCTTAGGCTTGGTTACAAGTACTTCTGGCAGTTTGGGAGACACACAGATGATGATCAAACTAAATGTAAATTATGTGATCAGTCATATGGTCACTCTCTTGAACACTATGTGCTTAATTGTCCACTTATTGAGGAATACAGAGACAGACAGTATAATAACCTATGTGACATGTCAAGATATCTTATTAATGAAAATAAGATACCAGATATACTAAGCAAATTTCCTAAATTTGCTTGTAACAGATAAGTGAACTATAGATATGTAGATATAAATCCATATGTATTCCTGTTAACCCTTTGGGGCCTAGTTCCTAGGCCTTTTGTGTATCCACATGCTCTCGCGCTACCGTCCACAGGATGGATATGGGGTGCACAATAAACTAGCCACTTCGGTGGCAAAATCTAATCGAAATAGCATAATAGGCAAGTTCACCTGTGAATCGACCCCTACAAAAACAAATCGGTGAAAACACGCACACACACACACACACACACACACACACACACACACACACACACACACACACACACACACACACACACACACACACACACCACTACTAGATGCTGACTCTAGGACCCAACCTTAAGCCAGGACCACGAATATAGATTTGTTACTCAGCTGCAGGTACCACTGAAAATAAGAGATGTGTGGTGTACATGAGACTTTCGAATTCGAACCCGGATAGAGCTGGCATTGCAGAAACGAAGCTCACTGGAATAATTAGAAATGTGATTTTCCTGAGAGATGTCACACTGGTTGATCAGGCTCTGATCCACCAGGAGGCCTTGTCACAGACCGGGCCGCGGGTTCGTTGACCCCCGGAACTCTCTCCAGGTAAACTCCAGGTAAACAGGGGGAGGGACGGAGGGAAAGGAATGATAATGCTATTCAAAATAAACAAAATTTTGAGATGAATAACCATGACAATAGAGACTCCTCCTGTAGCTACACATTAGTCAACACACACTCACAGTGATGGCAGGAGTGATTCTCTCTAACTGGAGGGTGAGGGTGGAGGCCAGGGCCCGTCTCCGCCTGGCCGCCTCCTCCCGCCCCGCCCGCCACTCCCGCCACGCCCGCGCCTCCGCCCACGTCCACTCCTCCCGTGGACGTTGCGTCTGTGGGCATCAGAGAAAGCCTGACATCAAAAAATGTACGCAAGAACATAAGACTAGAGGAACAGGCCTACTAGCCCATACTTGGCAGGTTCTCAAGTCCAACTGCTATCACTTTAATATTTGTAGGCTGTGACAGACGTGTATGTTTTTAGTAAACATTATATAAGTCAAGTGATCAAGTGAGAGGCATAACTGATACAAGCAGGAGCAACAACATTACCTGGAAGACACGGTTAGTGGACTCCTGGTCACTGTCTGCTTCAGAGTGAGGCAGACCTGACAAGAATGGCCTGGCGTCAGCCCAGGCATCATGGGTAGTGAGTGTTCCTGGTGGGGGATGATCTACGTCAGGTCCCAGCCCAGTCCTGTCTGCTGGTCCACCAGGTGTCCCGTCATCACTCCACTCCTCCCGTGTTACCTGACACAGAGAACGTCATGATGGGTGAGTTCTTCTGAACATGTTCTCCACCACTAGTGGAACTGTATTAGTTTGAGTGTATAGCATTTTGAAAGTGAAATACCTTACAAAATATTTGTTGAATAGAGCATGCAAATAAGTGTTCCATAGTTGAGCTTAAATATATACTGAACGCAGTACTTGTTGAACATCTGTGTGGAAATTTGTAATGTAAATCTAAAAAGCTTAATGTGAAGGCGCGCACGCGCACATGTACACACACACACGCATGCACGCACACGCACACGCCACGCACACACACACACACACTTTCGACACAGGCCTTCGACACAGTTCCTCACAAGAGGTTACTGCAAAAGCTAGAGGATCAGGCACACATAACAGGAAAGGCACTGCAATGGATAAGAGAATACCTGACAGGGAGGCAACAACGAGTCATGGTACGTGATGAGGTGTCAAAGTGGGCGCCTGTGACAAGCCGGGTTCCACAGGGGTCAGTCCTAGGACCTGTGCTGTTCTTGGTATATGTGAATGACATAACAGAAGGGATAGACTCAGAAGTGTCCTTGTTTGCGGACGATGTGAAGTTAATGAGAAGAATCAAATCGTATGAGGATCAAGCAGGACTACAAAGAGACCTGGACAGGCTACAAGCCTGGTCCAGCAACTGGCTCCTTGAGTTTAACCCCGCCAAATGCAAAGTCATGAAGATTGGGGAAGGGCAAAGAAGACCGCAGACACAATATAGTTTAGATGGTCAAAGTCTGCAAACCTCACTCAAGGAAAAAGATCTGGGGGTGAGTATAACACCGAGCATATCTCCTGAGGCGCACATCAATCAGATAACTGCTGCAGCATACGGGCGCCTGGCAAACCTACGGTTCCGATACCTCAGTAAGGAGTCGTTCAAGACTCTGTATACCATTTACGTCAGGCCCATACTGGAGTATGCAGCACCAGTTTGGAATCCACACCTAGTCAAGCACGTCAAGAAATTAGAGAAAGTGCAAAGGTTTGCAACAAGACTAGTCCCAGAGCTACGGGGATTGTCCTACGAAGAAAGGTTGAGGGAAATCGGCCTGACGACACTGGAGGCCAGGAGGGTCAGGGGAGACATGATAACGACATATAAAATACTGCACGGAATAGACGAGGTGGACAAAGACAGGATGTTCCAGAGATGGGACACAGACACAAGAGGTCACAGTTGGAAGTTGAAGACTCAGATGAATCAAAGGGATGTTAGGAAGTATTTCTTCAGTCATAGAGTAGTCAAGCCGTGGAATAGCCTAGAAAGTGAAGTAGTGGAGGCGGGAACCATACATAGTTTTAAGGCAAGGTATGATAAAGCTCATGGAGCAGGAAGAGAGAGGACCTAGTAGCAATCAGTGAAGAGGCGGGGCCAGGAGCTATGAATCGACCCCTGCAGCCACAAATAGGTGAGTACAAATAGGTGAGTACACACACACACACACACATATGCTGCAGCAGTTATTTGGTTGATGTGCGCTTCAGGAGATGTGCCTAGTGTTATACTCACCCCAAGATCTTTTTCCTTGAGTGAGGTTTGTAGTCTCTGGCCCCCTAGACTGTACTCCGTCTGTGGTCTTCTTTGCCTTTCCCCAATCTTCATGACTTTGCACTTGGTGAGATTGAACTCCAGGAGCCAATAGCTGGACCAGGTCTGCAGCCTGTCCAGATCCCTTTGTAGTTCTGTTTGGTCTTCGATCGAGTGAATTCTTCTCATCAACCTCACGTCATCTGCAAACAGGGACACCTCAGAGTCTATTCCTTCCGTCATGTCGTTCACAAATACCAGAAACAGCACTGGTCCTAGGACTGACCCCTGTGGGACCCTGATGGTCACAGGTGCCCACTCTGACACCTCGCCACGTACCATGACTCGCTGCTGTCTTCCTGACAAGTATTCCCTGATCCATTGTAGTGCCTTCCCTGTTATTCCTGCTTGGTCCTGCAGTTTTTGCACTAATCTCTTGTGTGGAACTATGTCAAACGTCTTCTTGCAGTCCACCCACCCCTCTCTCTCTTGTCTTACTGCTGTCACCATGTCATAGAACTCCAGTAGGTTTGTGACACAGCATTTCCCGTCCCTGAAACCATGTTGGCTGCTCTTGATGAGATCATTCCTCTCTAGGTGTTCCACCACACTTCTCCTGATAATCTTCTCCATGATTTTGCATACTATACATGTCAGTGACACTGGTCTGTAGTTTAGTGCTTCATGTCTGTCTCCTTTTTTAAAGACTGGGACTACATTTGCTGTCTTCCATGCCTCAGGCAATCTCCCTGTTTCGATAAATGTATTGAATATTGTTGTTAGGGGTATACATAGCACCTCTGCTCCCTCTCTCAGGACCCATGGGGAGATGTTATCTGGCCCCATTGCCTTTGAGGTATCTAGCTCACTCAGAAGCCTCTTCACTTCTTCCTCGGTTGTGTGCACTGTGTCCAGCAATTGGTGGTGTGCCCCACCTCTCCGTCTTTCTGGAGCCCCTTCTGTCTCCTCTGTGAACACTTCTTTGAATCTCTTGTTGAGTTCCTCACCTAGTTGAGGTTGCAGGGGTCGAGTCGGAGCTCCTGGCCCCGCCTCTTCACTGGTCGCTACTAGGTCACTCTCCCTGAACCGTCAGCTTTATCATACCTCTGCTTAAAGCTATGTATGGATCCTGCCTCCACTACATCACTTCCCAAACTATTCCACTTACTGACTACTCTGTGGCTGAAGAAATACTTCCTAACATCCCTGTGATTCATCTGTGTCTTCAACTACCAACTGTGTCCCCTTGTTACTGTGTCCAGTCTCTGGAACATCCTGTCTTTGTCCACCTTGTCAATTCCTCTCAGTATTTTGTATTTTGAAACTAGAGAAGGTGCAAAGGTTTGCAACAAGACTAGTGCCAGAGCTAAGAGGTATGTCCTACGAGGAGAGGTTAAGGGAAATCAACCTGACGACACTGGAAGAAAGGAGAGATAGGGGGGACATGATAACGACATACAAAATACTGAGAGGAACTGACAAGGTGGACAGTAACAAGGGGACACAGTTGGAAGTTGAAGACACAGATGAATCACAGGGATGTTAGGAAGTATTTCTTCAGCCACAGAGTAGTCAGTAAGTGGAATAGTTTGGGAAGCGATGTAGTGGAGGCAGGATCCATACATACCTGGAGTTTACCTGGAGTGAGTTCCGGAGGTCAACGCCCCCGCGGCCCGGTCTGTGACCAGGCCTCCTGGTGGATCAGAGCCTGATCAACCAGGCTGTTACTGTTGGCTGCACGCAAACCAACGTACGAGCCACAGCCCGGCTGGTCAGGAACCGACTTTAGGTGCTTGTCCAGTGCCAGCTTGAAGACTGCCAGGGGTCTGCTGGTAATCCCCCTTATGTATGCTGGGAGGCAGTTGAACAGTCTCGGGCCCCTGACACTTATTGTATGGTCTCTTAACGTGCTAGTGACACCCCTGCTTTTCATTGGGGGGATGTTGCATCGTCTGCCAAGTGTTTTGCTTTCGTAGTGAGTGATTTTCGTGTGCAAGTTCGGTACTAGTTCCTCTAGGATTTTCCAGGTGTATATAATCATGTATCTCTCCCGCCTGCGTTCCAAAGAATACAGGTTCAGAACCTCAAGCGCTCCCAGTAATTGAGGTGTTTTATGTCCGTTATGCACGCCGTGAAGGTTCTCTGTACATTTTCTAGGTCATCAATTTCACCTGCCTTGAAAGGTGCTGTTAGTGTGCAGCAATATTCCAGCCTAGATAAAACATAGCTTTAAGCAGAGGCATGATAAAGCTCACGGTTCAGGGAGAGTGACCTAGTAGCGACCAGTGAAGAGGCGGGGCCAGGAGCTCGGACTCGACCCCTGCAACCTCAACTAGGTGAGTACATACACACACACACACACACACACACAGGATCCATACACAGCTTTACAATGAGGTACGATAAGATTCTTGGAGCAGGGAGAGAGTGAACCTAGTAGTGACTAGCGAAGAGGCGGGACCATGAGCTATGAATCGACCCCTGTAATCACAAATAAACATACATATGATGTAAAATAACAAGCAAGAGAGAGAGAGAAGTTAGTTACCTCAGAGTCGTCCACTTGTAACATTAACTCAGGTCGTTCCTCAGATTCCCACCCAGGCTCGTACTCCTCTGCCTCGTCATCCTTCTCCTGCCCAAGAAACATTGTGTTTATAAGATACTCTGCGTTCTCATTTTGTTTAAAACTTACTACCAGCAAATGTAGTAGCTTTAACAACTTCATCCTACTATATATTCTTACTTCTGTTCTTATGTCTTTCCACATGCAACACAGCAAGCCTTCTTCACATTATAGGTGACCACTGTGTAACACCTGAAACACTACAATCTTCTCTTTACATTATAGGTGACCACTGTGAAAACACCTGAAACACTAAATCTTCTCTTTACATTATAGGTGCCCACTGTTAACCCCTAAAACACTGCAATTTTCTTTACATTAGGGTAACCACTGTGTAACACCTGAAACACTGCAATCTTCTCTTTACATTATAGGTGACCACTGTGTAACACCTGAAACACTACAATCTTCTCTTTACATTATAGGTGACCACTGTGTAACACCTGAAACACTACAATCTTCTCTTTACATTATAGGTGACCAGTGTAACACCGAAAACTGAAATTTTCTTTACATTACAGGTAACCATTTGGGGAAACACCTAAACACTACAGTTT